GGCCATATCTTCACAGGCAAAAATGTTAAATATATATTGACACTAAATGAATAAATGTCAAAAAAAAGATCCACACACCACTCTCTTAGTTCCAAACAGTTAGTGTATACAATACTTGTCAATACAGAGGTATACGCTGATGGTATTCCATGTACTTGAACCCTAGAATAACACAAAACAGTACATAGCATAGACTGTATATAATAATAATAATAGTGCAAAGAATAAATGAATCCACTCACAAATTCCAGAGCCGTGCCAGGCTCTGTGTAAAATGCCCCAGGGTGCCTATACAGGCTAGATGTGGAATCTTCACAAGATTCCACATCTAGAAGCAGCAGAATGATGTAAAAATGATGTAAAAATAAGTAAATTTATTTGTAATAAAAATATAAAAAAACAACTACACAGGTTGTATAAGAAAATGCAAAAGTAATATAGTGAATGCAAACGCGTTTCAACTCAGTCCGAGTCTTCTTCAGTGCATGAAAAGTTCATCTGGCTGATTCTCTTTTAAAAATGCCGCTTATCCGGCTGCCGGTCACATGGGCGGAAGTTCGGCTTGCCGGCGTCTGACGTCACTTCCGTTTTTTCAGCGCTCATATTTTCGGATTCTCTCTTTGTAAGTCATCTGCCCAGTTGAAGCATCAGCTGCCATTGTGTCTTTCACAGTAAGAACAAAATGGTTGTAAAATTATATGCTGCAAGATGTTTTATCAAAGTCTGTACAGATGTTTTAGCAGCAACTGGATGAATGCTTGCAAAAACACAATATTCAGGTTTAACATTTGTAATAGGGGGGTGACAGCGTCTTGATCCAAAGAGAGATCTACTTTCCATTCTGGCATTGAGAACAATTTTTTCCTAGAATGTTGCAAAATTGGAAATGGAAGGTGTTTCAAACTGAGTGTTTTGTCTTATTTTGGATCAACAGCTAAAACGTGTTATGAGTAGAGATGTCGCGAACTGTCCGCGAACTGTCCGCGAACTTCTCGTGAACAGTTCGCCACGGTTCGCCACGAGCTGTTCGCGGCGAACTCCGGTCAGCTGACACGTCCCGGCCAATCTCCAGCAGACCCTCCCTCCCAGGCCCTCCTACTTCCTGGACAGCATCCATGTTGAAACATGTGGGTTGAAACATGGATGCTGTCCAGGAAGTTGGAGGATCTGGGAGGGAGGGTCTGCTGGAGATTGGCCGGGACGTGTCAGCTGACCGGAGTTCGCCGCGAACAGCTCGTGGCGAACCGTGGCGAACTGTTCGCGAGAAGTTCGCGGACGGTTCGCGACATCTCTAGTTATGAGAAATGCTGAACTTGAGGGATGCAAGTCTCCTGTTAGCCTATGTGACTATGTAACTTTGTAACTATGTGATAATATAGAATAATGTATGTGCTGCATGTTTATAGAATGCATGTTCTGTATGCATATGGAATGCATATACTGTATGCATATGGAATGTATGTGGTGTATGTATATAGAATGTATTGACTGCATGCATAATGCATATAGAATGTTAGTCCTGCCTGTGTATATATATATATATATGTATATATATATATATATATATATTTGAACATATATGTGCTGCAAATATATAGAATATCTGTGCAGCATGTCTATAGAATGTATATTCCATGTAAGTCTAGCCAACTAAGGTGTTATCTGCTAAACAACTGAAAGAAAAGCCAATTAAGAAAAGCCAATTCCTAAATGTTGGTCTTTTAAATGTTTAGTATATAGCATATTATACCCAACAAGTTCCTTCCCAACTAGGGTTGCTCCGCTCTAAGGTCCATCCATGTCATCTCTGTCAATTAGTGTGCGCAAGTTCTTTGTATCTAAGATAAGAGGAACCATACTCAATGTCTTGTTTGAGCTTTGACCACTATGGTAGGGTCCTTTGCAGCCACGGTAAGCTGGCTAGGGAAAGAGGGATAGAGCAGATAGAGCAGCCACACAGATACACACACTGACACATACACACATACTTGCACATACACACACTGGCACACAAACATACACACACACAAACTGACACACACATAGATAGATAGATAGATAAATAACTAAATAAATAAATACATGTCATACTTTTAATATTTGTAACCACCCTCCTGTTAACATAATTTTTATATGCAGGTCGGTAGCTTGCTTGGGATCCTACTGATGCTGGTTGAGGCATGTGGGCCTCTATCCTTGTTCCTCCCCAATCCTGTATTTCCTCCTCTGCCTCCTGCGTGGCTCACTCTGAAAATGTCAGAATGTGACCACTGCAGAGACCTGGTGATGCTGGTAAAGGGAAACAGGGCCCACCCAGGCTCCTGTTAAGCAATACCCACGATGTTCTTCCTGAGCGTGTGGTAGTTCTGCTTCTGAGTCCCACAGATATAAATAGAGGAATTGCTATTTAGTGCATGGACCACCCAATGTTCCCCCTGAGTGTGTGGTAGTTCTGCTACTGTGTCCCACAGAAATTTATAGAGGAATTGCTATTCAGTAAGTAGAGTAACCGCATACTCCGCATGGGAGCTAATGTTTTTGGAGGCTGTATTTCCACCATGAATGTGATATTTTATGATGATTTTGTAAAATTGTTGCTGCAACACTGATATAAAATGCTTACGAATCACTTCCACATCTTATATAAAAACACTGCTGCATGTGGATGTGCATGGCTATTGTTCCTAACATGTAACATTATCCTTGCACTATATATATCCTCCAGCTACTACTTTCTTACATATCTATCTCAGCACCTCTACAAAGTAACAATCTTTTTGTATTGCTGCCCGTTTATTATTCTTTATAGTTTGTTGTTTTTACTTACACTGTGCAGCAAAGGAAGCATTTATTAGAAGTGTTCAGTCACTGGTTTTCCCCAAGCGACAGAAAAATAGATTTTGTTTGTTCCTTTTTATGGCAGCTCGCCTGCTTATAATACCATTGAGAAGTAAGTAGACAGCAGGAGAGTTCGGATTCATTGAAGAGGACCCTAAATAAATATCTGTCTGTCTGTCTGTGTATTAAATATAGATTTATACACACACACACACAAAACGATTTAACCAATTTTCTAGTAAGGAAACAAAAAACTATTGAATACACGATTGACTGATTGAGGAAATGAATAATATATTGCAGAGGATCCATTATATTTCATTATTCCATTGCATTCCAGTAAGAGCAATTTAATTGGAGTAATTCAACAATAAATCTGGCCTAACGTCTTATTATTAATTGTATTGAAGAACGATCACAGTTTGCCTTCATGCCAAGTCTAGAAGTGATACCAATCAGCAGAGTTGCTAGGTAACCAGGTGCATAAAAATGTCTATAAAAAAGCAACCCTAAATTAGGCATTTTTGATAGGCACTCTTTAGTCAATTCATGATCTTGTAACCCAAATCAACTACAACGGGCAGAATTATGCTATTGTATACTAGGCTCATGATTCATTTACAAGCAGACACATATCTAATAACTGAAGAAGACTACGTCCACGTTTTCATTATGAAATTGTGAAATCAGCATTCTTCCACTGGACACTTCTCATTTTTATAGTTACAAAGTTACATAGCCAGGGGCATAACTGGAAACCTCAGGACTCCAGTGCAAGAATCTGTTAAGCCCCACTATAGAACAGAGGTGGTCAATAGACGAATCTTCAGATGCTGTGCAAATCACATGGAGCTTTGACTGTTGTGGATCTACTATTTAATATTTTTCCATTTGCAACCTTTAAGTAATCTTGGAATTGGGTCTAAACACAATACTAAATTACTAAATACTAAAAGATTGCTATATGTAAATAAATTGCTCTTGATTAATTAATTATTGCTTCACTAATGGGCCATGATCACTGTCATAATACTATGCCCTATTTTAGTACTAGACAGGTACTGTGTTATAGAGTCCAGTGATTTGTTGGAAATTCCTGTAACAAAAGTAATCTTTTCGGAAGAACGAGGAATACCAGAGGCTGGCCAGTATGGCTACAATGCTAATATATAGTGCTAGGAAATTTTAGATTTTCTGTCTCTGCATCCAGGCTTTATATCCACTATTAAATGATAACAGATGGCAGAGCTTGGGGTCTCTCCCGGAGAATGATAAGATAAAATGATGTGAAGCTTCTACCTGGAGCAAAATGATGGAGACAGAAAAATAAACAGTGTTGTAGTTTTAATGAAAAATGTGGTGATACGAAATGTCACAACATATGACTCAGGCAAACACTGCACCTTTATTCAATAATACAAATAGAGATGGACGCTAGAAAACTAAGACTAGGTTAGAGATGTTGGTTATTAGGATATTGAGGAATTGTGTTCTCTTTTCTACATCTACAGTGTTCCATCTGATTATATAATAGTTAATTAGCTTGTGCATAGCAGAAAAATGATTGGACTGAATTATGTTACGGTATGTTATTTATTATTATAAAAATTAAGGCATTTCGGTTTGGATTAATTTAGCCCATGCAATCATTTCAGGAAAAAACGATTCAGACAAATGAAAATGGAGCAAAAACATGCATATTAATGAACTATAATTAAATAAATAATCAGCTACTTCTCCATTTCCTCCTCCTTTTTCTAGCATCACAGAGGGTTGATTGCCCAAAATTCAGACAAAATGCATTTCATTTAAAACCAAATCAACAAATCTACTAGTTAAAAGGGCAGGATTTAACCTCTCATATTCATGCAACTATATTCTGCTAAGCAAACAAACTAAAATAATTTCAGAAAATTGCTGTAAAGTCACAGGGTTTGGAGCTGTTTCAGACAGTTCTGGACACACTGTGAACAGATGGAAAATGATCAGCCCATACCGACATGTCCATTATATTAATTGTGATTGCTGAGTATATTTTATAAAAAGATATAAAAGACATAAAAGGTTCATGAAATATATAATTCAGCATTAGCAGCAGATTCAGTCATTAAAAAACACTACAGTCCAGGGGGGCGTGGCCAACTTCCGAGCCGAGAGGATGCATGGAGTAAGAGCTCCTGGTCCCATCTGACTACCACAGCGTCAAACAGCAGGCATTTTACCTACATTTTGACCAGAAGTTAAAGAATACCACAGCTACTTACTGCCCCAGCATTGCCCCGTCAAAACAAATAAAGTTAACAGACCCAATCCGGCAATTTAAAAAAGAGCACCAAAAGACCTTTCAAGATGGCGACGACAAACAGGCACCATCTCCGGCCTCTGAAATTCTTCCAGACCCTGATATCCCATCGTCCAGATACTCGGATGAGCCGGTGATGGAACGGAGGTTACACTCCATGCTTCAGGACCTAAGGCATACACTCCAACAGGACTTCAAGGCCCTAATGGCCGATAAGCGAAAAGACATCAACAACATTGGAGACAGAACCCACCAATTGGAACAGTGGATGGAAGAATTATGTTCAGCGCATAACAAGGTGGTGGAAACAATCCAGAGCCTGGTGGCAGAGCAAAAGCTCTTTAAACACAAAATGGTTAATATGGAGGACAGGGCAAGGTGGAATAACGTAAGATTCCGCGGGATCAGCGACAAGGTATCCTGGAGGACTCCACCTGGAGGACACGCCGAATGACACAATTGTCCGATTCCACTGCTTTAAAGCACTGCCAGAACCTTATCCGCAAATCTCCATATTTGCGGACTTATCAGCCACGACAATGTCTAGGAGAAAGGAGTTCAGAACTGTTACCAAGACTCTGAGGAATCACAACATACCCTACAGATGGGGCTACTCCACAAAGATTCTGATCTGGAGAAACCGTTCTTATAGAAACATAGAAACATAGAATGTGACGGCAGATAAGAACCATGCCGCACATCTAGTCTGCCCAATTTTTTAAAAATACTTTCATTAGTCCCTGGGCTTATGTTATAGTTAGGATAGCCTTATCCCTTTCCCACACATGCTTAAACTCCTTTACTGTGTTAACCTCTACCACTTCAGCTCTAAGGCTATTCAATGCATCCACTACCCTCTCAGTAAAGTAATATTTCCTGATATTATTTTTAAACCGCTGCCCCTCTAATTTAAGACTATGTCCTCTTGTTGTGGTAGTTTTTCTTCTTTTAAATATAGTCTCCTCCTTTACTGTGTTGATTCCCTTTATGTATTTAAATGTTTCTATTAAATCCCCCCTGTCTCGTCTTTCCTCCAAACTATATATGTTAAGTTCTTTTAGCCTTTCCTTTTAAGTTTTATCCTGCATGTCATCCTGGAGCCAGAAGACAGAACCAAATTGCTGAAAGAATCTGCTGAAACAGATGGAGCCCCGTGATCAACATAGACCCTCTCTTCAAAGAGTTCCAGGAGAATGGCAGATAGTATCCTCACCCAGGAAGACCAAATAATTGGTCTGCTTTGAAGTTATGTGCCTCCCACGACCGGTAATGGGCCATAGGCCTTTCCCCAAACAAAACAAAGGGAGTGTCTATCCTGTTTCACAGAGTTTGGGTATTCCAAATCAAGAATGAATATAAAGATCCCCAGGGCAGACTTTTAATCCCAATTGGCTCCCTTAATGGTTTACAGGTCACGGTGTCATCACTGTATGCTCCTAACAACTCTCAACATTCTCTCTTGCTTTCCAAAGCAAAGCTCTTAAAAAGATTACCAAGCTCAAAAAAGGCAACACCTTCATATGCGGCAACTTCAATTGCACCTTAGACCCATCACTAGATACTCAAAGATTACACAACAAGACTTCCATGACCCTAACTACTGCACACACATGAACTGTATAACACTTGGCGCAGCCTGTATACTTCCGCCAGGGAATATTCATTCTTCTCAAATGTCTATAAAACATATTAATATATAGACATGTTCCTAATAGATAAGTATACTCTCACCCATCAGATGTTTCAATTGGACTCAGGACCTGGTCTGACCATGCACCTCTGATAATCACGCTTCGAACACCATACCTGACAAGGGGAAGAGGTAAATGGAGAATAAATTATTCCCTATTAGAAAGCACTAACTGCCTCCTTAACCTAGGTCTGGCCATAACAAACTCTTTTAAAGAAAACGAATCCCCGGAATCCTAAGTAGACATAAAATGGTCTGCCCACAAGGCAGTACTATGGGGACTCCTGATCCAGACAGGAATAACATCCAAGCTTAAAGCCTGTGAGACCAAAGCACAACTAATCCGGGACTTGACAGAACTGGACACTAAAAATAAAGCACAACCATCGAAAACACTAAATCTCTCAGATTACCGCCCAATTACACTCGTTAGCACTACGCGATACGGAACGCCGCATGAGGTCCCTCAAACAACTATGCTTTGGTAATAGGGCAGGCAAATTACTTGCGAATAGGTTATGAGCAAGATACCTCCAGACCAAGATCCCCTACATCTCCTCTAGCAAGGGCGACAAATTGTATAACCCGCAGGATATTGTTGAGGAATTGGCAAAATATTATGCCAATCTCTACAGCCAGAAACATGACCCTGATACACACCAACCCTCAGATACCGAAATACATGATTTCTTAGACAAAACACATCTACCCTTTATCTCTCAACAGCAATCCTTAGACCTGGATGCCCCATTCACTGAAAATTAAATACGAAATGCTATTAGATCACTCCCGAAACATAAGGCCCTAGGCCCGGATGTCTTTTCTAATTACTATTACAATAAACTAGAAAGCTATCTCACGCCACACCTATCTCTATAACTACATTAAAACTTCAGGGACAGTTACTCTTGAAATGCTGGAGGAACACATGGTGATGTTACCCAAGCACAATAAACCACCTACTATAAGCTTGAACCTTAGACCGATATCCTTGCTAAACGTGGACATAAAACTGTACGTGAAACTGTTAGCTCAACGTATCAAACCACTACTGACTAGCTTGGTTTCCGTGGAACAAGCAGGGTTGGTCCCAGGCAGACAAGTGGGAGATAACACCAGGCACTTCATTAACTTTATCGACTGGGCTAAAACTAGTTCACAAGCAGGGCTAATTCTTGCGCTCGACGCTGAGAAAGCATTTGATCGCCTGAAATGGAAATACATGGAGCTGAAAATTGGTGTTTTCTGTCAACTTTATCAGGAGTGTCCTGGTTTTATACTCTACTCCCACCGCAAGAGTATTTAACTCAGGCTTTCTGTCATCTGCCTTTAATATTACTAATGGAATGTGTCAGGATTGCCCACTGTCCCCTTTGATTTTTATTTTATGTCTCAAACCCTTAATTCGCCACATCAAAAATACCTCCACCATAAAAGGCCAGGGAACAAAGGTTAGCATTATTTGCAGACAACATGCTATTATCTTTAACTGAGCCACATAACTCAATCCCAAACCTAACTAATCTATTACAGATTTACGGGTAAATCTCATATTATAAAAATAATGCATCAAAAACCCAGGCCTTATCAATAGGTCTATACTCAACGACCCAATCAATACTGCAAAACAAACACAACTTCGACTGGCAAAAAATATCCCTTTCCTATCTTGGAATAAAACTCACCAAAGCAACTCACCTACTGACATCAGAAAATCACTCCCCCCTAATGCACAAACTTGGCTCAATGCTGCACAAGTGGAGAGGTCTAGAGGTGTCATGGATGGGTTGTGTAAACACCATCAAAATGATGATCCTACCTCACATTCTATACCTTTTTAGAACTTTACCCATTTCGATTTTAAAAAACATCACAAAAAAATTACAAACAACTATAAATGCTCATATTTGGAAAAGGAAACCCCCACAAATTGCTTATCGCTTACTGTGGTTGCCTAGACTCAAAGGTGGTCTCGGCATCCCAGATGTGTGCAGCTACTATAAAGCAACAATACTATCCCAGGGCCTGCTCTTGCTACATACAACATCAGACCCATTGTGGTTACCGTTTGAGCAAGCATGTATGGGGTGGAAGTTAATATCTCATTTACTATAGTCCTGCACACTACCTGAAATTGCAACCTCACCATCCATTATTACTCTCCCATCCACCAAGTTCCTGCTATCATCATGGAAAAGATACATTAGTACACTTATTCACCCCATAACATTACTCGCTCTAGCCCCCATCCAGGCACTGTTGACACTCTCTCCGAACCTCCCGGTAAATGTATGGGGCGGGAGAGGCATTTGCATAATAAATTACTTGTGTGACACCCAAGGCGTTAAACCATTTCCTCTATTAGCAGCCAAATTATTAGCAGCGATTGTGATCTGAACGCAACGTATAATCACGATCCTCCGGGTGCATCGTCTGCCAGCAGTTCTACAGCCTATAGAAGTGCAGATGTTTACCAATCTGGAGAACAAGGCAGACCCATCCAAACTTGGATCCAGTGCCACAATGAAGTCTCCCAAGAATTAAGTAGGAAAGTGTGCAAAGTGCAGACCAAATAAATCAGCTTTCCCAACTGTTAAGGAGATATATGTTTGCAAATGTATATGTGTGACCAAGCAGTGTACCCTTCATGAACATATACCTGCATTCCTGGTCCAACAGAGTGGCTCCATGAGTGAAATTTAGGTTTCTGTGGAACTGAATGGCCATACCCATGGATTCCCCATAGGGTTGTTTCTATAATAACCCTGAGTATAATCATGGTTTGTTAATCCTATCTGCCTGGAATGAATCTCTTGGATATAAATCAACTCTGCTCCCTGTGCCCTAAAACCTCTAAGACCATAGGATCTCTTATCAGGGACATTTGGGCCTTTTGCATTAATAGACACATGTTCGAGGGGGGCATGAATGTATGTCATTTAAAAACCAATACCTGTGATAAGAGGAGACAGGGGGCAGAGGAAGTAGAAAGAACAATAATAAACCAGTAAAAAATAAAAAATTAAATAGTGCAAACCATACTATGATGACAACACGGGTTAAGGTAAGAGTGACCAAACTAGGTTGGGGTGCTCCTGTATTATTTTTTGCACATAGTTTGCAAATAATTTGACAGATTACTGCCAGATGGCCCAAAGAGACAATTGGAACCATAACCACTACAGTGCACATAGAATGTACCTTTAATGTTTTATTCGATGCTGCAAGAGATGGTTCTGTTTTAATTAATACAACTATACACTGAAATGTGTTGTTCTGTATAAGATAAGACAAAATACAAATATTTAATTATTCTACTGTTTGTTTTAGTACAAACCTGATAATTCCAGCATTGTTTTCTAGTGTACAGGATTATGCTTGAATCGCCACTTGTTATTTCCCCTAATGCGTTAATTTTCCTCAAACAAGGCATGCTTTAGAATATGATAATGCCATAAAATTGTTATATATTCTAATAAAAGTGTCAAACATTCATCATGTTTAAGCATTATGTTGCAAAGTATTGCATTCAAAGGCTGCATTATTTTGAATTACTAAGAATTATATCTATATCTTCTGAAATCTGTATTTTACATTTTCTCCATTTTAAAACTTTGAATGTCATCTGACTGCTCTGTGCAAAAAAAATAAAGATTAGTGTGGATGTATTACAATCAGTGGAGCTTCCAATTCAAAAGCCTATGCTTCTGAACCAGAAATAAAATGACTACACATAGCTACATATCAGTGCTTATATCCTTCCC